GCTGCCCCGCCCCGGCCGCGACGTGCGGGAGGGGGCGGGGCCACACGCCCCAGCCCAACAGCCCCCGCCAACTGCAGCGATGGAACGCGGCACCCAACGGTCACCGCCCCTCCCGCCGCCACGTGCTGCCCCTCAGAACCTCGCCCCTTTCCCGCCAGCCCGTATGCCCTTAATGGCCCCCGTGACGGGGGTGGGAGGGGTTCTAGCGCTACTTGGTGGGCTTTGGCCCACATCCAGTGTTGCTGAGTCCGTTTATAAGAAATCCACTTAAAATAAGTGGAATTGGGCTTGTTAGGTTTTTTTAAGTCACTTTAATTTTTTGAGAGTCCCAGATTCATAAACACCCCTCTCTTTGAAATGAGTTGGGCTTGGTTTTAAAGGCAGTGCTGCTTCCCCTCTCCCCACAAGACTTGGCAATGCTGCCTACATAATAGCATGGTGTATCAAAAGGCATGGGTGACTGGTGCCTCCTGAGTCTGGGGGGGCACCAGATCACCAATGAGGGGGCCCCCAGCAGCGGATCACCAAGCTAGCAGCAATACTGGAAGTGCACTTCCGGGTTCACGCCTGGCGCTTCCAGGGGGTGCACGGCTGATCTCAGGGGGTGCGCGTGCACCCCCTACATGTTGCCAATGTCAAAAGGCCTCACTTGCCACCACCTTCTTGCCTCTTCAGGGCTTATCTTTGGAGGCCTGTCTATGGTCTGCATGTTCATTTCTCAAAGATCATCGCTTCCGAGCCCTGCCAGCCCACGGCCATCTTGGCCTTGTCTCCTGCAGGGGGCAGGGTGATGAGCACCCAGAGCAAAGCTGCTAGGAAAGGGGCACTGCCCACACACTCAGCACCTGGAGTCCTATTTGCCACTCTTTGTCATTTAAAGACCAGCCAATTACCTGTCAAGGATGACCGGGCGGGGACAGAGTGCCACCGCTCACCACCCCATGCCGCCACCACCTCCCAGGAGTAGGGGTGAGGGGAAGCTTGCCCTCGGTCTCCTCTGACCCCCTCCATCAGCACCCCGCGCCACCACCGCCTCCAGCAACGCTGGCCTTGCTGTCCCCTACCATCCCCCCCAGCTCCATGGCAGTGCTTCGCGCTCTGACTGGCTGTTTCACTAAACAGAGTGCTCCAAGAGCAGTGCGGAGAGACAGAAGGATGGACTGAGCCCTTTACTGTATAAAAATGGCAGTCAGGTCCTGGCATTAAGTCCCCAGCTAAGTTCCACCCAAGTCAATGGAGCTCTGCGGATTCACACCAGCTGTGGGCTTGGGGCACAATGTCCCTTGCTATTATAACAAAGGGTTATTATTTTTTTGCCAATAGGCTTCCGAGAGACATTTAGTCTCGCTTTCTCCTCACTTTTACTCGCACGTTGTAGTAGCGTTGTAGGGTGTAGTCTGGAGGGGGCAGGGAAGGGGGAGCAGGATGCACTGGTGCCCTTGCACTCTGCTTTGATTCCTGCTCCAGAAGAATGAGTTTTAAACAGCATCAGTATTCTGGGCTTCTGTTCTAAGCAGCCTGTACCAGAGATGACCGTCAGGGGAAGAGCATTACCCAGCACAGAGTATATAACTGGTTACAGCCTAAAAACATGGATAGCACGACGTCGTGTCTGTTGGGCTGCTCTGTAACATGTATCTCTGGTGCCTGAAATTCTCTTTCAGAAGTTTCTAAAGCAGTCTTCTTCCATAAATCACAATAACTGCTGCATCACTGCAACACCAACACTAACAAATAGAATTACTGATATAGATACAGCACCACTCATAGGCTGTAAGGCAGCACAACGCTCTTTATCTCAACCGAGTTTATTGGGTCAGGGCACTGCTGAGGTCAAACAGGATCTAATTTGGCACCTATGCTAAACATATGAATTGAATTTACATTTTAGAATGGTTATAAACTATAGCTTCTTGCCACACTTACCTCTCTTTGCAGAAATGTTTTCTGTTCCTCTTGTTTCCTCTCTGCCCCATTCTCTGTCATCTGACTTTAAACTCAGCTAGCTAACCTTTTAATTCCTGTTCCTCTTTCTTATTTCTCCAGTCTTTTTTTCCTCCAGTCCCCTCTTTGTTCTCTGTCCTTCTCCTTCTGAGTTTTCTAGTCTCGTGAATTTTCTGAGTTGTCTTGCCTCTTGCTTTTTTTTTTTTACCCTGACTTTTCTGCCCTTTTTTACTCCAAAATAGCAGTTCTCTTGCCCTAAAACTTACAAAGCAGATTCAGTTTCTTTGTGCATCTCCTTCCTAGGATCTTTTTTGTCAGCTGACAACCAGGAGGCAGGGTTTCAAAATGATGGAGCAAATATGACATTAGCATATTGTTCCATCAATACATAAAGAAATTTGCAGCAAGAATAAACGATTTTGGCCCGGGGTTAGCTATCAAGTTAATGCATGTATTATAAGAACATAAAAACAATAAATTCATCAGAATATTAAAAAAAAGAAGAAAGGTAGTAAAACTGAGAGTGAGGGGTGGGGAGATTATGTGGCTTACCCACGTTCATGGAGGAAATCTGTCACACTGGAGGTGCAGCCCCTGGTTTTCAGTTTATTTTTGCCATTGATGGGTATTGATGGTTGGCATGTGTGCAGATGTGCCTACGTTGATGTAATCTCCAGAAGCTGCTGCAGTGTTTTAACTTTTGACTTGAAGGAAAAATCTGCCCAGTGATATTAGTTGGAGCACACGCACTTTCTAGAAAGAAGTGGCAGGAAAGTGCCAGATAATTGACAGCTACATGACTGAGGTGATCTGAAAGATGATTGGGGAGAGAGAGAAATGTATGATGGATGTATGATTGACAAGCTGATTGATAGGTAAGAAAGGATGATGATTGGTTAACGAATATGGTGTGATTGAGTAGTATAAAAGATGCTGCCGGATGCTCTGTCTGTGTAGGTTTCTGTGATTCTTGGTGTGGTCTGGTTATTGTCATTGACTAAACTTGTGATCCTCAGCGATAGAGAGGTATCAGAGTCGCTAGAGCAAAGGCTCTCACTCTCCCCATTTTCTCGGAGGCTGAGTGCGATCTAAGAGCGGCGTGGGAATCTCTTGATAGTTTTGAGACAGAGAGTGAGCGGTTCTTGTTTTGTATTCATTCCGTCCTTATGTATGCGTGTAAAACTGTAAGCCCTGGTATTTGGATGTCAGTTGCACTCGGACTTGCATTCTTGTTTGTCTTGGCAGTCTTTGTTGTGGTTTTGCCTCCCAGTGCACATCTTTGTCCTGTGGCAGACAGAGTGAATCCATGTGTGAGTGAGTGAGCCTGAGTGCCATTTTTAGTTGCCTGGCAACAGGCTGCTGTGTGAGCAAGGACTGCCCGGCACAGATTCTCCTCCAGAGGGTTAACCTGTTGGTGATAATGTATCACCCTTCCTTGGAAATGGCCTTCCATATTGTTAACTGCTTTCCCTCCTTCCTTTTGTATGTCTGTATTTTGACATTGCTTTATTACCTTATAAATAACCAGTTATTTGTTCTTTACTTTTGTGTCTGATGCAGGGGTCAGCAACATTTTTGGGCAGTGCCAAAAGCACCCTACACCTTGACTTGTAAGATGTTGGTGTGCCAGCGACGGATGACAGGGGAACCAGGAGGGGCCCAATCCTTACTGTAGCAGTGCAGCCTTAGCCCCTTCCCTGCCACCTATGCCGAGGCACGTGTGCCAAGCAAAATGCCTTTGAGTGCCACACTCTGGCACCCATGCCAGGGGTTACCAACCCTTATAAGCCAGCAAACCAAGCTGGGCTTCTAGCCAGCATTAGCTGGTCAGCTTGGGCTAGCAATAGCTCTATGAAGCCATCCCTTTCATGAGAGGTCTAGTTGCTTGTTTTGGTTAATTCTGTGGGCCCTTAGCAATTAATTAACTTCCCTTGTTAACAGTGGGAGCCCAGATGTTGTGATTCTCAATCCTGCACTTCAAATACAAATTGTTTTCTCTCAACATCCACTTTCCAAATAGTATTTTTCTAAGATCCAACCACTCTGCACAGCAGGAAAATATTTTGGGTGGGAGAATTTTGATTTTCTTTTAACAGGTTAAGGAATATGGGATCAAAAGTTTCTATGGGAACTGAAAAGGGGGAAAGAGGAAAGTAAGGTAGTGGCAATGGATTTAAGACTGAGCTAGTGCAAACTGAACCTTCTCTGCTTTGGGTTCGTCTCGGTCCCACTCTCACCTCAAGATCAGACTCAAGTAATTCTCTGTGCTACAACCCTCCAATCTAACCAACACTCCCACATCAAAGCTCCTGCCTACTTCTATTTTTTCTGGCCCCCCTTTGCTTTAACTCCTCCACCCCATGAGCTGTCTGTTCCACTACTGTCCCTCTTGACATGGTCCAATTTATCTTTACATCCAGCCTCAGCTAAATCCTACATCAGACCCTATTATTGCAGCCCATGTTTCACTATCTGTGGCTGCAGTTTTGTGCTGCATTCCTTATAGATGCAACACAAGGAAAGGAAATGTCTTGGATATTTCCAGTTCAGGGATGCTCTAGGAATCACAGTATAATGGCCCACAATATAGCTTAAGCAGGTCAGCCCAAATGATCTGTGGCTGGCAGTAGACATCTACATTAGAAATTCTGGAAGAAGCCACAGAGGGACCCCAGCAGGTGCTATATACCGTGTTTGAAAGGGAGAAACCTCTCCTTTATAGACTGCATCCAGTGAGAGCCAACTGTTTTGGCAGGAGTGCAACAAATTAAGGCCTACACACTCCCCAAATGCCTCTTCAACCCTTTTCCCCTGCTTTCTGCTTCTCTGCTTCCTGCTCTGTGCTGCCTGTTTTCTCCCTGATCTGCCACATGCCACTCACAGAGGCTGCCTGTGCCACAGGTTGGCCACCCCTGACACCACACATTAGGCTCAAGGATCATACTCCACATTTTTATCTTAAATCTGAGCATGCGTTCACCTCAGGGCAGTGTCTTCTATGCCCTAAAGCAGGGGTGGGAAAAATACGGCCTGTGGGCCAGATCCTGCCTGCGAGGCCATTTTATCTGGCCTGTGGGGCCCCTAAAATATTTAGAAAATTAATATCTATCTGCCCTTGGTTCCTGTAAAAAATGACAGGAACCAAGGGCAGTAGGAACCAGGGGAAGTCCAGCAGGCCGCGGGCGCCCCCCAGCCCGGCCCCCCCAGCTGGAAGCCCCAGGCCGGGCTTCTGGCCTGGGACCACATGGCTGCCCTGCACTGGAACCTCAGGTAAGGGGGAAGGAAGGGGGGAAAGGGCAGGGGAGGGCCCCGGGCAGGGAAGGAGCCTGGGGAAAAGTGCCCCGGGGAAAAGCTGAGTGTGAAAAGCAGCCCCTCACCTGCCCCATGGCTGATGCCCCACGCTGCAGCCACTCGCAGCCTGCCTATGGCTGTCCAGAGTGGGCACAGGCAGCACCAGGTGGGCTGCGAGCAGCTGCAGCGCGGGGCATAGGCCATGGGGCAGGCAAGAAGCCGCTTTTCCCCGCACTCTGCACCACCTTGTAACCCGGCCCCACTGCCAATCTGAGCCCCATGTGGCTCCAGGCTCGCCCGTCAGGGCTGCATGTGGCGACAGCAGCTGTGGCCCCTCTGCTTGCTGGACCGGGCAGTGTTTGCCACCACCGCCTGTGGACTGCCCAGCACGCAAGCTCCGAGTGGGCAGCAGCAGCCAACACTGCCCGGTGTGGCAAGCTGGGGGGCCACAGCTGCTGCTGCCACACTCAGCCCCAACGGGCGAGCCCGGAGCCAACGCAGGGCCCAGGCTGGCAGCAGGGCCAGGTTACAAGCTGGTGCTGAGCGTAGGGAAAAGCAGCCCCTCACTTGCCCATGCTGTAGCCGCTTGCAGCCCTCATGGGGCTGCCTGTGCCTGCTCCAGACAGCCCAGTGTGGGCTGCAAGTGCCTGCAGCAGGGAGCACTGACCACAGGGCAGGTGAGGGGTCGCTTTTTCCCACGCTCAGCACCAGCTTCTTCCCTGCCAGTGAGCAGGGGGTCAGGGCTGTGCACTGCCCCCTGCCTGTACCACAGGCTGGGAGGGGCACTGGGAGTGAGTGGGCAGGGAGCCAGAGGGAGCACGGGACCCATACCTATGCCCCGGGGCCAGTGCCGGTGGGGCCCAGAGCAGGGTGGCAGGAGCGCGGGGTCCCAGCCGGCAGGGGCTCCATGGAGCCGGGCCAGCTCCCGGCCTCTCTCTGCTTGTGCAGCCCAGCCCGGCTCCACAGACCCCTGCCAGCCTGTGGCCCGCTTTGGGCCCCACTGGTGCTGGCCCTGGGACATTGGTCCCAAGACATTGGGACACTGGTCCCAAGATGGTGACCAGGGGGTGGGGCACCTGTCAAGGGCCGGGGCTACCCATGGGGCCCTTGATAGCCTGCCAAAACTGGTTAAGTGGCCCACCGCCCGAAATAATGCCCACCCCTGCCCTAAAGCATAGGAGAAAGAGGCCTAGCAACCCTCCATTATGTTTTCAGCAATCCTCTTGTCCTTTCCTCTTTGCACCTCTGTCTACTCGCTGTTTGTTCTAGGAGTTTCAGTTCTGTATCTAATCTCTGCAGTGAACACTGGTGTAGGCTAAATGCTAGGCAAAGCAGCCACACAAAAGTACCAGCAAGGGTGTACCATAGGAAATGAGGGAGGGGGAACAGAAAATGAGAGCTCAGGACTTTTAAAACTTCCTTTTATTTGGAGTCCAAGATTTTAGATAAGCTATTTTCCAAGTGAACTTGTGGTGAACACCATGGGATGCATTTCTCTTCTATTTTGTTGAATCTTAACACCTGTTGAAGCCTAAACCAAAGTAAAAAATATATATTTGATATGCTTGAAAAAACTATAATACTATCTTCTTTCCTGTTTTCCAAAAAATAAATTAAAATTAAAATTGTATGTTATATTCTTCCTATTTACTTGGGTTTTGTCAGGAAACTTTGTTACAAAACTGGTAACCATTACAACTTTTGCCTGTTGAATGTTGTGACACAATATACTACTCTCCATGGGGTCTGCACTTAAATGAATCAGGTCCTGTGTAGTAAATGGAGAGTGACAAGTAATTTTTAAACTACCTAACACTGTTTGAAGCCATTGGCAAAGTTATCACATTAAAGATCTCTACAGAAAAGAGCAGAACAAAATGGATTGGGTTTCAAATGACTGTTACCCATTCTCATGGGTGACTCTGCTTTTGAAAGGATTAGGATTTGTTCAACCTGAAATTAATCAGTTGCCTCCCAGCTGAT